TATCTTCAATAATATTTATTAATAATTTTTCATTTTCTAAATGCTAACACTCCTTTCATAAAGCAAATTAAAGTAAATAAAAGTTTCTAATGATTATTGTTATGCCATTAATATTATTAGTACAGTTAGAAAAAAAGAAATATTATATACAGTTTGATTTAAACATATTTAAAACAAGCATTAACAACCCATAATAAGACATAAGATATTTTTGAGAAAAAAAAAGATAACTAACAAAGACTTGTTTAATATAATTTAGAAAAATATATAAATATTATGAAAATATTTCATTGAAATAAATCATTTCTTATATACATGTGCATGAAGTTATTATAAGTACATGTATATCAGTCATACGTATAAAATACATAAATAATATAGCATAAATTTTGAGCATAAAAAAATTGTAATTTGTACAAATAGAATTTAAACGAAGCATGCTTGTTTTTTTTTTATAATACAAATTTGATCACAATGACAAAATTGAAAAATAAATAAAAACAATGAATGAATGAATGAAATGTCTTGGATTGAACCTTTAGACAATAAAAAAAAAATCTAATCATGCATCTAATAATAAAAATAATAAAATGCGCAATCAATTGACTATACATGGTGCATATTATTATTTGTTATGCTGTACCTATGATTAGAGAAGTGGCAGCATAGCCTAAACAGAACCTCCATCACAGAGGCCAGCAGCTTACTGATCTTTCCACGAACATTTCTCATTAACCTGCATTTTTGTTGAAAGTTATTAAAGGGCTGCATATATCTTTTATAAGTCCTTAAATAACCATAGAATTGTGTCATGCATGGTTAATTATTACAAAGAAGCAGCAAATTGAATTTTCTTTTATAATTTTATGTCAATATAATTATGACATCAAATATTTCATTTGAATTTATTTACAATTATCTTATATCTCAAAATGTATATTGATATATTGACTGATCCAGTGTAATAACTTATGTACAATGGGTTTCATGCTGATACTTGAAAGAATAGTTTTCTTTATTTCATAATTTTTGATAATTATTTATAATATATATATATAGAGAAAAACATCAATATTTATAAATTTACGAAGGCATAATTTAAAGAGTGTATGATGGCATATAAAAAACATTAAAAACATTTGATGATAATAACAATATAAAATAAATCTATTTATAAAATACACATATAAAAATGAAGTAATAGCAAATAAAATATTAAAATAGAAAATTATTAATATATATATGTGTAAATAAAGCATTCAATAGAAGATAAGAAATGATATAATAATAATAAATGATAATGAATATACTTACGCAGAGATACGAAGTAATGCACCACAACTGCGAGGATTAGGAGCTGTATCCAATGTGAGTTTAATTTCTCGTTGTTTATCAGAATTGGTTGTACTTGGAGGTATTTCTACGAGTCTTATGCTATGTGGTTTTCTAACAAACGGATGATTGGCTGTTCTGCTAAGTGGCTGCATTTGTCTTTTGTAGCATACTCCGCAGTAAAGTTTAGATCTTTCAACAAGTGCATAACTCTCCCCGTCTCCGATAAAAGCTCCACATGAATTACAGGCAAAACATTCTGGGTGAAATTTGTGATCGCCAGCCAACATAACCGGTCCAGTAATGATATGACCACAACCTTGACAGGCTTCTCCGTATGCAGCCAAATAATCATCTTTACAGAAAAGTAAGCCATCTTTCTCAAAATACCAAGAGGAAAGACCAATGTCGCAGACAGAACATCTATCAAAAATAAAAACATCGATGAGAACAAACACAAGTAATTATAATATGAACATAAGAGAAGAAAAAGTATTTACCGAAAACAATCAATGTGCCATTCTTGACTCAATGCTTGTATAAATTCATCTTCATCGATGGCGTTAAGGCAACCAGCACATATTAACGTTCCACTGCTGTCACCTCCTCCTGGATCTATAAATATCATAGAAAATAATTACAAACTACTAATGGCATTTATGTGTTATCTGTTAAATTTCTATTATATTATATAACTACTTGTAAAATAGAAAAAAAAAAAAAACAACAAGAACAAAAAATAATGTAGAAAAATTGTTCACAGTATATATTTATCTTTTCATTGATTAACGTTACTTAAGAATAAAAATTAAAAAAAAGAAAAAAAGGAAACAAAGGGTGAAAAGAAAATTAATGACAGAAAGTATATTTAAAATCGAATATGAGTCGTTACATGACTCATATATTTAACATTAAATTACGAGCGATAAGTAATTAACCAGATGACAGTTTGTATTTGCTTAATATCCACGAATAGGAGAAGTCAGTGTAATCAGATAATCGTCATATTGTAGATCTTAACGGCTGGATTCAAAGAAAAGCGTTGATACAATACAATATTACAGGACAACGCATAAATAAAACTATAAATACTAAAGCGTGGGCCAGGAAAGCAGAGAAGGACAGGACGCCCACGCGACATACAGATCATCGAGCAGAGACATACAATCCTTCATTAACTTCATCCATACTATATATTTTTCTATAGCATATTTTCACTTTTATTTCAAATGGATTATCTATTTTATTTCACTTTGATTATCAAAACGTTTCAACGGGTTCTTTTTTTTTTTCTTTTTCAAAGAAAAACCTACCATTTGTCGTAACTTCATCCATCACGGCATCTAGAATTGACACACTACTACTCCCCCTCCAAGATACAATCATAGACTATCTTCATATAAAAGATAAGAAAATATTCTGCTGTTTTGTTACTGCCGCTATATTTCTTCATTTGTAAGTTCGAATTGAAACGATCATAAGCTTGTGAGAGAATGTAATGAGATTTAAATTATATTCTTTAATAATAGTTACATCACAATTATAATTTTACATCACAATTTCATTATCTTTTAATATCTTTTCTTTTATATGAATCATGAGTTTTACAGTGTGTAATAGGTTATAATTTTCATTAATTACAATTTGTAATTGTTAATTACATGTTTAATGTTAAATAAGTTATAAGTTACAATTGTAATAAATTATAATTTTAAACAGTTTGAATTTTCGTGGTTAATTTCTTATTAATTCACTATTCTGTTGATAGGTGGCGCTTCCATCAAACCAGAATGGCTGATCGAACGGTCTCTAATCTAATAGGTTATTGGATCATGTGTTCAACGTGTGTTTAGTAAATTTGTAAATATGGAATTATTAAAAGAAGTATCTGATTTTTTAAATATAAATACGCGATTAGATTTAAAAGCTGTTGCACTGCAAAATGTACTAAGTATGTATTATCACTTTTTTTCAAAAATTAACTTTATTTGCATTATAAACAGATATAGAGGTTAAGTTTACATCTTGTAATATACATTAATTTATAATTTCAAATATAGATATCACAGGCAGTAAAGAGGGACTCCAGCTTTTACTTGGTTGTTTAGATATATTAAAACAACTTGTCATACTTATGCAAGATGAATCAACTGCAATAGCAAAAGATGCAGCATTGTCAGCAATAAACATAAGTGCAGATGAAGCCGGAGCTAATGCTTTTATAACAATTTCTGAATCTTCTCAGCAGGATAAAGAAGAGAAATATACTCATAACTTGATACAAGTTTGTATGAGGTACAAATATTATAAAACAATTGTTATTAATGTCTTATATTAAATAATATTTAATATGTATGTTATTTTATTTCCAGCTCTATAATGGACAAAAATAGTTTATTAGCAGACCCATGTTGTATGATACTCTCCAATGTAACAAGACCAAAGTATTTAGTAGACAGAGTTATAACACTCATTGAAAAAACTAATTATTCATGGGATTCTGTCATGGCAGCATTTACCGCTAAGAAATACAACCTTAAAGGAGCTAATCTACATTATTTAGGACCTGTATTTAGTAATCTTACTCAATCTCCTTCTGTCAGAAAGTATGTTGAAAATATTCAATTGATAATAATCAAATGTATATGTTATTATTTTATATAATTTTATAATATTCTTTTATTATATATTGTTTAGATACGTAATGGATAAAACGTCCTATGTTATCCAACGTCTTCTCCCTTTCACAGAATACTCAGATAGCATTGTAAGAAGAGGCGGTATTATTGGAACTTTGAAGAATTGTTGCTTTGATGTTGAACATCATGAGTGGTTGTTAAGCAAAGATGTTAATATTTTGGTTTACTTATTATTACCTCTTGCCGGACCAGAAGAATTTGATGAAGAAGAAAATGATAAGTTACCGCTTCATCTGCAATACTTACCTAGTACGAAAGAAAGAGAACCTGATCCAGATATTAGGTATAATTGTACATGTAATAAGTGTATATGTATGTGTGTTAACATATTCTACAATTTTGTGAATGATTTTAGGATAATGTTATTAGAAGCTTTAGAACAATTATGTGCAACGAAAAAAGGAAGAGAAATTTTGAGAGATAACAACACTTACGTTATTTTAAGAGAATTACACAAATCAGAAAAATGCAAAGAAGTCCTCCTCGCCTGTGAAAACGTTGTCGACATTTTAATCCGGTATCTTTTATATTAATTCAAATACTTTTTCTTATTTTTTGTTTCTTTTTCTATATGTTTGGACATTGTAATTATTGTATTTTTTTTTGCGTGGGACATTTCAGAACTGAAGAAGAGATTGGTTTGGATAATATAAAGGATGTAGATGTTCCAGTGGAATATAAGGAAAAATTTGAAAAAATGGATGAAGAATTTATTAATACTTAAGGAATACTAGTATTACAAGATGTGTGACATCTTGGTAAATACTTTCTTTTTATATATATGTAGCATAAGTCATATGTATATTTTGTAAATATATATATTACTTTTGCTTGACAATAAAATAATGCGCAGATGTATTTAAGAAATGTATTCGCGAAGAATATGTATACATATGTAATCCACGATATTGCACTGTTCCCATAGACTATTAACTTAAGCCATTCAGGTGAAAAGTAGCAAAAGCATCAATAATATCGATCTCTTTCTTTTAAAGATATTATTTAATATCTAGAAAGAATCAAAGACTTGTATAGAACAGAGCAGAGTATATTTAATATATGGTATCACTAGTTTCTTATTATTTTCATTTGCAACAGGTACCATTTTTATAGAAATTATATAATGCGTTATTTTCTTCTTTCTTTTCATACTAGAAATCAAGAAATAAACTTTGATCGATTACAATATGCTTCTGTTACTTCACTAAACTTGAATTAGCTATGTAGCTTTGAGATCAAGTTTTGATATAATTATAAAAACTCATTGATAGAGCAGGAAACATTACCATCAAGGTAGATACCCTAAACCAGCTTCCAAACTGATGGAACTTTTGATACTGGATGCGTTACTAGCCCTCCTACAAATTTTATTGGAATCTGATCCAAAGACGGCAGCAATTTCAGCACTCTTCTTTATCGAGAGTGCTTCGTGATGAGCGTCAGATCTAATGTTACCATGAGAGAAACATTTTTTCTCTCTTTCGGCACCTCCAACGTACACCAAACGACCTTGAGTGTCTCTGGCACTTACAACCAATACCTTCTCGCTACCAGAAGATTGCTGGGACTTTCTTCCTGGACTGAAAAGGTCATAATCCAAAGCTAAGTTGTCCGAGCTACCACAAATGGGAGAGGATTGAATCTAAAGAGGAAAATAAAGAAGAAAAAAAAAAGAAAAAACTTTGAGCAATCTCTAGTAGAAGATTAAAATGTTAATGTTTAATTAGAGTAAAAGAAAATTTGTAGAAATCACCTTCAATAATTCAGAATTATGAGAAGAAGAATGACTCCTAGAGGTTTTTGATGACGTTATTCTATCAGGACTTCCACCTCTACTTAACGTGCCCTCCGAAGGCACAATACCCTTTTGTCTCAATTGTTCCAAGATGTTGGATCGTACAGGCGTCTTTCCGCAATAACATTTGTTGCTTTCCGAGCAACTGTCCGTGTCGCAGGCACACACTACCGTATTCGGGAGGATAGGCTCTACGAGTTGTCTTCTGGACAGGGAACAATAACATTTATCCGCTGAGATACAGGTGCAGGATTCGGAATCGTAGCTGCATTCGCTGCAACTTACGTAACCACTGCTGCTTCTATTTGCAGCTGGTCCAGCGTTGCGACTCGCTCGTCTACCTGAAGAAAATTAATTGATTTCATTTTATCGACGAATTTTTCTTCTTAACTTTTTTCTTTTTTTTTTTTCTGTTGACAACATTTACGTACACGTGTCACTGTCCTCCGAAGTAGTGTGACACTGCCCATTTTTGTTCATTCTCCAGGATGATCGTCTTTTCCCATGTCTACTGGCCAACACACGACTTCGATGATTATTTCTAGCATCGCAAGACGAGCTACTTCCAAAACTATCGTTCAATCTTCTCGCAGGAAAAATAACCGATGTAAATTCAGTCGGTCCACCTTTTAATCTCGATACGGATCTTTTGATAGCACGCCCTAAAAGACAAGGCCGACGAGTCGATCGTCTTCTCTGTGGTCTACGACGTCTTCTCATTATACTAGCAGATCTTTGATAAAGCTCGTCTTGTGTCAAAGTTGCGGCAAGTTTTAATAAAAATTCTTTGTAAAGTGGCTTGAGATCGTTAAAGGACATACCTTCTGGATCTGAAAATAATATTATTAGAATTTGATCGATCATTGTTGATATGTGAATTAATAATAAATTAATTATTTGTTTTCTTACCAATAATAGCTGCTAAGATATCATCGACGCTAGTCAAACCTTCCTGATTTCTAAATTCATCAAACAGTTCAGTAAATCCCAATGGAGTACCCCCTTTCATATTATTTGCTATTCTGGTACTTCCAGGTTTCAAGAAACTCGCTCGTCTTGGTAATTCAACTCTAGTCATTAAATCCCCTCTTTCTACGTCAAGATCACTTTGAGATCTCTTGAGTTTATTTTCTTGAACAATTTTCTTGGTACTTTCTGTTCTACCCACTGGTGGTTCGCTGCCAGCTCTACTTCTCCTTCTAACTCGAGGCTGACTGTATTCCGGTATCTTCGTATCCACTTCTAAATCATTAGAAACATTAGCCTTTTTCAAGGGTTTATCCATGGTAACAACTCTACAGAGCTTTGTACCGGAAGATGCAGTTTTTTCTCTATTCCTAGAACAGTGTTTTTCTTGAGAAATCTTTCTACAGTCTTCGTACGTATCATTTTTACGATTTCTCGAGAAGAAAACATTCTCTTGAGAACTATTGACTTGTCCACGATTCATCTTCTTATTACTACCAACGTAAGTATCCTCTTGATCAAGACTATAGATCTTTTCCGCGTCTCTGAAGTGTTCCTCGTAAATCCTCTGTCGATCGCTCTTCGTACTTTGCATATAAATTGGATTCTTCGTGCTCGATGGTTTTTCAATTCTATCGTATATTGGAAAACAATCGGATTTTTTCGAATAAGATTCCACGGTACTTTGAACGTCAAGACCATTTCGAGAAAAATCGTAAGACCCGTAATTTCGTTCACTCGACGATGATATAATCTCATCTTTTCTTCCCGGCAAATAAATGGATCTTGAATTAGTATCAAGATCATTGCTCCTTCTAGATGATAATAATTTTTCGTAAATGTTAGATTGAATTCCATAAATGCTATTGCTGGTTTTATCATCGTAAATCTTATCCGTACGACTACTTTCACGATCTAACTCGTTTTTCTCGATTTGTTGAGGATCTTTCGAACATTTAACATTATCCTTCTTCTCAAACTGTTCCAAATTCTTTTGAATTAAGCTCACCGGCTTGTCCGGTTTGACGGGTTCTCTTCTACATCCTCTAGCTTCGAGTATATCTTCAGCCTTTACGTCCGAAATGGTTTTCTTTTTTCTTCTTGGTGCTTTCTGTACACTGGTAGACTTGTTACTCTCGTCTTCGGTAGCTGAATTCGAGATAGAATTTTTTTTCAACCTCGGTGGTCTTATCGGATGAGGTGGAATGTTGTTTGGTTTTGGTAACGACGATGGTGTTAATAAATGACTTTTATTACTTGGACTAGCTTCTCTTACGCTAGAAACTACCGATGCCAAACTAACACAGCCTAAACCATTAGTATGTCTAGGTCTTCTTCGATTTCCATCAAGATCAGCTAATAATGCTCTGTACAAAGTGGCCGCAGCGGCAACAGCATCTTCCTCCGTTTGACAAGCAAATGCGTGACACTCCAATAATCTTGCTGCTCCTGCTCGTCTCATTACCACAGCAAAGATAGGTGGATAAACATCAATGTCACTTTTTAAACCACGCATTGTTCTATAAAAAATATATATGTCATTCTTTTTAATACAAATTTCTTTAAAAGGAAATCAAGATATTAACGCATATATTTTTGTAAAAACTAGGACAAAAGAGTAGGTGTTCACAAGAGTATGAATCAGAGTATCTTAAAGAACAAAGAACAAGTATTGAACCTTTCACCAGTTAATGACGTATAAATGGATTCAAGACAATTCTTAATCAACTAATCCAGTCTCTTGCATCAGACCAACTGAGAAATGATACTATGAATATCTAATCGTTAGATCTAAAATCATCATTCGTAATTTTCTAATATAAATTTACCTATAGAGGTCAGCGTGCTTGTCTTCGGCCCCTTGACCTTGATCAGTATCTCCAACCAGTGGCAAGAAGGCATAATGAGACTCGCCTGATGGAATTTTCCTACATCGAAGTCTCAATGCACTCCAAACGGCTATTCTACGAAAGGGATTGTTCTTCTCACAGATTTCACTGGTTCGAAATGTCAATCCACGTCTTGAAACTTCTAATTCCGCTTGAATTGACCCATCGATTTTTTCTAAAAGTTGACGAAGTGGTTCTTGAAGACCACGAATGCTAGCTACTCGACCACCAACTGGAGCAGCACCCATGTATTTCACCTGATCGATTATAAAAAGGTTCATTTAAATATTAGTATATATTTAAGAATTCATATTTAGTTTGATTGAAATTTATAGATGATATATTTTTAGATAACAAAATGAATTCGGAAAGTCTTTGGAAACTTATATATAATTAGATTTAAATAATTAAACAAGTAATCCGTGCATTAACCAAATGAACAATTTTTAAAAGAAGATTCGCGAAGATGTTTAGTTAACTCGTTACGCTCCGTTTAATAGTGAATGAAATGAAAGTGACGAATACAAATTCCGGAAGATACGTTTGCTATGCAAAGGAAAGTCCCTTTGTTTCTTTTTTTTTTTTCTTTTCTTTATTATTTCTTTTTTTTTCTTTTTTGGTCATCTACTTATTCCTTTCTTACAGCATCTTTTGATTTCGTTTAGAAAATAAAACGTTTACGATTATCGCGAAATCGCTCAATGATTCTTCCTAACTTGTCTTAAGTATACGGGTTACTTTAAAACTTTCTTTTTCAGCTTCCTTTCGAGATATCTCCGGAATTATCTTCTCTTTGGAAAATGATTTTCTAACGCGTAACTGGCCGCGACTAATTAAACGACGATCTAATTAAGACAATTTTCAATTTATACAAATTTGTATTGTGAGTCTTTTTTTTTCTTCATTCTTTTTTTTTAACTTTTGCAATTTTATTTCTAGAGAGTGAAATTTAACAGTGGTTTAATAATAATTGTTGTGTGTTTGATGATTGCTTTTCAGCGTGAATAAAAATTTTCATTATACTTTTAACCATACGTTTAAAACAGGTATGGTGTAAAAAGTAGCACATAGAATAAAATCGATGTATATAAATTTATAGTCATGCCAGTGTTATAATTATCCACTCGTCGTTGAAAAGAAAGTTAATTTTCCTGATCAAATTTAATCGTGTGTTATTCTCCTTTCTTTCTTTCTTTTATTATAACTTTTGTATCATTTAATTTTAAAGAAAGCGTTGTTGTTGCTGCTGTTGTTGTTGTTGTTTAACTTAAAATGATTTTTAAGTGAAAAATTTCACTCGGAATTCGTATGAAAATGATAAAAAAAAAAAAAAAGAAAAGAAAAAAAAAAGAAAAAGGAAAAAGCTACCGGCAAGATGGCAGCTGCACATTCTCCCGGTGTTCCGCTTTCAGCTTCCACGGAAGCAAACATAGCTTCGATTCTTGCTTGGACCGCACTGTTAACTCTTTTTTGTTCTTCGAAACTTTGATCTTCACAATGAACCGAAGTAACGGTTGATACACCAGCGTACCAACCACCGATAGTTGAACTGCAAATTGATCTGCAAAGTAAAAATCATTTTGTACAATTACAACATAAGTATCAGTTATTAGGATGAAACAAAAGTTCATGTTGTTTAAAAATGTATATTTGTTAAATAAATTTTCAAATGAATATATTCAAAGTTAATTTTACAATTAAAAGTTTGTACATTTCTAAAATGAATATTTGATAAGTCAATTTTCTACAAAATGAACAATTATTCAATTTATAATAGAATTTGTAATGCAATAAACACACGAACTTTGTAGTTCATCCTAATAAAAGGATAACTAACGTGATCAATAATCTTTTACGAGAATATCCTTTCTAATTGATAATATTTTACCTGGAATCCTCGAAAAGGGCATCAATTCTAGCCTTGCTTCGAAGTGAACATTCCGATGGCGGTCCAGCCAATCGGAATCCATCCCCATAACAAGGCATTCTAGCAACAGACATCTTTCTTTCCACTTTTGGATACGTATCATTGAAAAAAAGGAAAAAACATAGGAAAGAAAAAAGAAACTATCCAGATAATTGTTCTAGAAATTCTTCAATCATCTCTTTCGACGATGGTGATATCCCACTCGTTCTAAAAATAAAAGATTAAACATAAAAATATTATTTATAATATGATGATAAATGATCAAATAATAATAATAATAATAATAATGTCGAATTAGATACAATATATATATATGTGTGTGTGTGTGTATCTAACAATAAGTAAAATATATCTTTCAATTATTTTACTTCATTCTTTATGGTTTATGCGATAGCTTGTTAAGAGTGCGTTAAATTTATGCGAGAAGTTGTCTGCTATGAAGATAATTAAGACTCAAATGTAAGGCACAAAATGAGATGAAGAATCTTGATAAATTGTTTAAGTGAGGTGAGATGAGGTGAGAGGAGGGTTGAACGAAGGGTATTAGGCTAGGTTTAACGGTCTCTACGAGTAAAAGTACCGAGAGCGAGATCTACCTTGTTATGTGTGCTATATATATATATATATATGTGTGTTTCATGATTTCGAGGGAAAGCTAAGTAAAGTTTTCTGTTACACCTAAGAAACACACTTATATGTTAGTTAGTTAGTTAGTACGTTCTTGTTTAGTCATAACGCACATACCAGATCATATTTTTCAAATGATTTTTCTAATATGTTAATAAAGTCTGATAAGTAAGTAGGTAGGAAGAAGTATAGGTATGCGTGATCTGATTAAAAAAAAAAAAAAAATATATATATATATATATATATATATAATATGCGAACTCTTTACAATTTTAATTTCGTTCTTTCGATCTTTCCCGGAAACGTTCAACGAACTGAACTGTCCATTCTAATCTTTCTCTATTCCAATAAGAAAATAAAATATAATAAAATAAAATACAATAATATAATATACAATAAAATAAAGTATAATAAAATAAAATACAATAAAATATAATAAAAATAAGAAAAATAAAATAATACCCATTTCATTTATATCAATTCTTATATTTATAATATTAATTCTAAGTTTAATTAAGAAACACGTATTTTATATATACAACTCGAGAAAGAAAAAAAATATACAGTTACCGTAAAATGAATTAAAAATTCTTCGAATTAGCTGTTGTTTTTTTTTTTTCAATGAGAAATGATAGATAGAACACACAAGAGAACGAAAGAGAAGATCAACATCTGTCGAATAACTGTCTCCATTTCTAACTTTGATTAGTTTTTAGAGTGTAGTTCACAGTACGTGTATGTAACTTATATGATAATAAATGAATGTTAGTGTATACGAATATGAATAAAACGGCACACACGTTCTGTGTATGTGTTCCACGTGCTTTCAGTTTAAAGCGTTCGTCTCTACGTGACGGAAGCGATTATCGAAAAATAGAAGATTACGAGAATAATTGGAGTCTCTCGGTTAGGACATGTTGTAACACAGAAAACCGTTCGTATATGATCGTATAACATGATTACCGAGTTCTTTCTAACGCGATGAGAATCCAGAGATGAAAGCAGACAGACAGACAGACAGACAGACAGACAGACAGACAGACAGACAGACAGAACAGACACCTCGTGTGTCGGTTATATTATAATTTAATTGCGGTATTTAACATCTCATTTCTCTTATATTTTTCTTTTTACAACGAACGCACGATGATGATAGGAATACCTTTTTATATATTCATCTTCGTGCGTTAATAAACTAACTTCGTTCATTCGTTCGTTCGTTCGTTCGTTCTTTAGTTTTTTATTTCTCTTTTTTATAGTTAATGAATTCACCAACTGACCAAGTTTTTAATTCCGTGAACGTCGTCACGATACAATTATATTGATCATTACTTTAAAAATATATTTCATTTATTAGGATTGATGATTATTTTCATTAAAAATGGATTATTTATATAAAATATATGTGTATTTGATGTATATTAAATATTATGTATTTGCTCATAATTATGAAAATGATATTATTGTAAGTCAAAAATTTAAAAAAGAAAAAGAAACATCACTAATTTCACACTATATTATTATTATTATTACTTATATTATTTTAAATTAAATGAATTCAATGTAATTGTCCCTAAAATAAACCCTTACGTAGTATTTGTTATTACAATATTATATAGAATTCATTTACAATTAGTGTACAATTTGAAATATCTCAAACCAATAGATATATGACTTAAAATTAGACCAATTTCATAATTATGGCCACACATTATGAAATATTTAAACAATTTTTTCCGTATTATGTATTATCTATGACGTATATATATATGAAAGATAAAGAGATTTTTCGTTTAATAATCTGTTAAACGAGTGAAATTTGTTCAAGCAGATGCTTTCTGGCGTGTGACACGCAACCGAAACAACGCTGTATATCACCTTTTAACCCAGAAAAGTTGGACCAGTTTTTCTGATTACTCGAAGAAGGAAGTTTTCGATACCGGTCTTTGAACGTCATTAAAGTAGTGCTACTGATATTACAACGATTACGACATCGATGAACGTGTTACTAGATCTATGCCAGCATCGTTCGATCCGCAATTACCAAGTTCATGGCTCATTTAGCACATTTTATAGCTACAGATTTGAACACAATCATCTCTTTAATAAATTCAGTTAATTTTCTATCTTTATTTACGAGATTTCTATTATTTTTTTTTTTTTTTTTTTTAACGATCAAAGTAAAAGTTATATTTCATTTTTTTTAATATGATATGATAATACTTTTCCATTAATATTTAACAACGAGTTAATCAAATATTAACTTAAGGAAATGATGTGTGTTAAAACTTAAATATTAGAGTTTTATTTTCTTAATTGATAATATGAAATTTTCTTGAAAGAAAAATCGAACAAGAGTTAGGAATATTTTGAAATTATCTATTCAGGAAGAGAGCAACGTTATAGAGAGAGAGAAAAAAAAACAGTATATAATATTTATCGAAGCGTGAAATATAAAATAGTAGGCAAACCTTTTATAATTCTCTCGGTGAAGTTTTATTCATTTGAAATGTGTAGAATCATGTTGATCAAAATATATCATAATATGAAATAATTTTGAATATAATATATCCGTCAAATTTTTGTAACGTCATTCGAATTTGCACTGACACACTGAACTACTTTTTTGTTGTTGTTGTTTTGTTTTGTTTTGCAGGACAACGAAGAGGATATACACTAATGAAACGTTAAGTGAACTGTTTTGTTCGTTTAGAAAGAACCAATGACGATGAAACGGCAACGGAAGGGTGGTTGCTTCCGCATTGTAGACTGTAAATCGTTCATTCGTTGTGTTTGACTCGCATCAACCTTGATCGCGAGTCGATCCGGATGGCCGTCGACGAGAAACTGCCGGGGATGTTCCGCAGGAGAGACTCCGGTTCTCCAACCAGTGAGTCGAGGCGCCTCCATGCTGGAACGAAGAGAAGGAGAAGGATCAACGAACAGGGAAAAAGAGAAAAAATTTAACCGAAAGAAAGAAAGAAAGAAAGAGAGAGAGAGAAGGAAGAAACAGTACCTTATTCCTATCAAGGACTGTTACCCTCAATTCGTAATATTATACAGGATGTTCAGAAAACATTCATTATCAATATTTATATTTACAAATTTCATATTCTTATCAAATCAAATGGTTTGACAAGCATAGTAAATAATATACTGATATTTTCACGATATTTTGTAACTGTGTAATATTTACAATCGTCGATCTACAGCTGACTGGATTCTCAATGAAATCTACTTTCAGTATTTGAATAAGAACATTATGATTACGTTTTAAAAACACTTAAGTTAGCATTGCATATGATGGAAGCAAGTAAATCAATCATGATACCTAGCAAACGAAAATGTTTATATCTCAAAAATGATTAACTTTATATTTACAAAAATTTTTTTTTTACTGGATATAAGTATTGAATGATATTTTTGAACACCTTGTATAACTTTAATAATGTTATAAAAAAAAAGAAACACACATACACACACAAAGATAAAGTATTCTCATTGCTATCACAAGGATTAATATTAAAATATTATCGATATATAAATTATTTGAATTTTTTTAGCAAAGTGAATTTTGTTCTGAAAGCTGATAAGAGTTATCCTGAGATATAAAGAAGCTCATTTTAAAATTTGAATAAGTAATATATGTGGTACAAGGAGTAAATTGCTGAACGGTATATTTTTTTTGTTTTGAAAAAGGTAAATATATCAAACTCCATAATAAAATATAAAAGAGAGACGTACAAAATCTAACCGATCGACTATCAAAAGACGACTTATTGAAATCTAACAGGACTCTTTAGGATATAACCAAGAACCTTTTCTGATATATCAAAAAGATAGACAGCAGAACGTTCGGATAAATTGTTGCTGAACTCAACGAATAATAATAAATAATAATTGGTATTCGTTGAATTTAATTTGACGAATATTACTATTAAGTGGATGACTTGAAAAAAAAAAATTACGAATTGATAAGATAACGAGCATAAATTCTAAAGAAGAAAGGTTCCTTATAGATATTTTATGCATGTGTGTATGCAAATGAAATAAACGAATTATCAAGTGTAACATAAAGTTATGATTTTTATCATTTCATTTTGTTTTTTTTGTATCTTTCTAGGAACAACGAATTAAATAAGAAGAGATGTGGTAAAAACGTAAAAAGAAAAGGAAAGGTAAAAGAAAGAGAAGAAGAAGAAGGAGCAGGAGGAGGAGGAGGAGGAAAAGAAGGGGTAGAAGGGGGAAGAAGAAAGAGGTGAAAGATGGACCGGGCCATCTTCAGTCTGGTCCTTCTCTTGGAAGATGCTTTGGTCAATGTGAGGTGCCTTAACCGGTAACGGTATCGCTCTGCTATAGCGTTCATCGGCCGCACCAACGTGAGAGTACTGTTATTTCAACCATACGAGTGAGAGAGAGAGAGAGAGAGAGAGAAAGAGGTATCCTTTTCTTTTTTTTTTCAATTTGTTTTCTTTCATTTATTCCCCTTCTTTTCTTTCTCTTCTCTTCTCTTCTCTTCTCTTCTCTTTCTTTTAAGTATACACACTTAAGAGAGGATAAATCTCGAACGAGATTCATCCTCGTCCCTTTTTTCTTCAGCGTTCGTTCGTTCGTTCGTTCGTGGTTTGTTCGATCGATCGATTGAAAAAAAAAAAAATTTGATTCTTTGCGAATCTCTCAGCGATTCTCATCTTCGTACAATTTAGTCTTCTGTGTGTATGAATTATTATTTACTTTGTATAAAAGAAAATGTTGTGAATATATCATTTAAACTCATTGCTTTAGAGAATTTCAAATGATAAAATAGTTTTATATGTTGCATAGAAATTTTATTACATTTTAAATGAAACAAAATTGGTATATTTTTATTAATTGGTATATTTCTTTTATTTTTATTAAGGTATTACTTTCAGATTATAAAATAGTTCTATATGTTGCATAGAAATTTTATTACATTTTAAATGAAACAAAATTGGTATATTTTTATTAATTGGTATATTTTTTTTTATTTTTATTAAGGTATTACACATAATGTAAAAACAATGAAAAAAGAGTAATAATTTAATGACATTTGTATAAGATATTTTGTTAAAAATATTACATACTGTCAATTATTTTACGTTAATAAAACAAAAATAATCATATAAGTTATTGCAATATTTCGAGATGGGATTAAAAATGTTCACACCGTACATAATTACGGTGTATCCAAAAAAAAAAAAGGTGGGACACTTTGAATTCCATCGTGCTCTTTGCAAAGAGTTAAAAAAAAAAAGAAAAAAAAAAAGAACTATTAAATTTATAAGATGATAATCCTGTTTAAATGGAAAAAGAACATAATATCGATTGTTTATGGTGTGCTACGTTTTATCGATTATATTAATTGCAAACCGTTAATTTTCCTTAAAAATTAGATGATAGATAAAAGTTCAAGTTATTCGAAGAAATAATTAATCATTGTCGATAGGAACAGTTGTTGTGTACACACACGGATTTAGTATATGGCAAAGAAAAAAAAGAAAAAAGAAAAAAGTTATTGAATTTTACCGCAAGGGATTTTATATCGTTTTTATTATTATAGCAGTTAGAGGATTTATGCGTTAGTAGTAGTTTTGCTAGCGTGATTCGTATCTATGTTCACCAGTTTATTTTCATATAGGAATGAAATATTCGTAGAACGACAGATGGTTAGTTGTTGTTGTCGGTACCGTGTGTGTGTATGTGTGTGTGTGTCTATGTTCGAACAAGGAAGTACAAGAACTTTTCAATAGTCTTTGCAAAGATGTACGCAGATGTGATTTACAATCGGAGAAAAAGAAATCAACAAAATTCGTCTTCGTCTTCCTTTTTTTTCTTTCACGTTTTAACGTCATAATTGCACTTAGGTAAAGACACCTGTGAAAGTTCTTATATAACGTTAAAGTTCTGTGTGTGTGTGTGTGTGTTCGTTGACTTTCTGAACAAAATTTCTTTTCATTTCTTCAAATTTTATTCGTGAATTTCTTCTCTATTTTTTTTTTTAATTATTATTATTATTATTATTCTAAAATAACAAATTAAAGTCTCATAAATGTGAATTATTATTTATAAAAAAAGATTATTTATATTAAAGATTAGCGAAAGCTTCTTTCCTGTTTTTTTTTTTTTTTTTAAATCTTTTTCAGGTTTAATTTCATCTTTTAATTTTTAGTTCAACGCATCGTTAAAAATGTATAACCTTTGACATGTATTTATTAATTCATAAAATTATTTAAAAGAGAAATATCAAATTTAACGAGCGATTAAATATTTATTCGTTTAAATTATTGCGAAATACAAATATGCACAGCTTTAAAACGAATCGCGCAAAATGTCAATAAATACAAGTGTGTCCTAATTTTTTTTTTAAAAGAAATTCTACATTATCTTTTAAAAGAAATTTACCGTTCGATAAATTTGCTATTTTGTCTTATAAATATTATTTATTTAATATATTATAAATAATTAATATATACATATTTAATTATTGTTATTATTAAAACACATATTCCTATATGAAAATAATAAAATTTAATATATAATTTATATTAAATATATAAATACAATTATATATATATATATTTATTTATAAATTTATATATATTATATTTATAATATATATAAATATATATATATATATATAAATTATCGTTAAAAAAATACATTTTTTATTTATTAATTTATTTATTATGTAACATTCGTACTTTCATTCATTTATCACGAAATGATGTCTTCATAATGAAGACAATACTACTACTACTACTACTACTACTACTCTATTTACCTTTGTATTTCTCAAGACGGTTACATCTTTCACGGTTCGTACTTTTGACTCTCAGATTTTCTTTTAACAACCATATATCGTCCCAATGTATCTTATTCCAGACCTCGAGAAAGCTTCTACCGTTCATGACGATGCGTGATGCAATTACACAGTCTGCTTCATTCGAAAAGGAACGCCTGATCGAACGATTGTCACTTCAGGAGGGATGAACAAAAAAAAAACAAGAAGCACCACCAATTCAATGCAAAATACAAAGATAAGCAATTTTACAATCTTATACAAACAGGTATGAATAATTTAATCATTAATATTCATTTTTTACTTTTTTTTTTTGAAATTCGTTTAACGAGGCATTTTCATCGTCATCATCAAAATGTCATGGATAAACTTATAGAAAGAAAAATCACATTATAAGATTTGTGTAAACATCTATCTTGTCCATAGATAAAATTGATTTTATCTTTTTATTTATAACAATTTAATTTCATATTAACAACATAATTGTTTGCAATTTGTTTGCTTTTTTTTTTTTTATTTCTTTTCTTATTCTTGACTCTAGAGAAACATGAAAGTTAACTTGATAGAAGTTTATTACTTGCAAATAGACTAATGTATGTGTGTGTCTTAAACGATCATTGATCAAATAATAAAGTAAGTTATTTAATTATAAAATATAGGATTACAAGTATAGAAATGATAATAGATAATAATTGAACTAACATCAATACTCATCGTTGAACTAATTTCACTTATGACCTGATTCTTCCATAATTGAGTTTATATATATAATATATATATATATATGTAACTGTAAATTATGTCGGTAATATATATAACTGTAATCCTGAAGTATTTCGAACAACACTTGAGCACCGCTGCTCAGATCGCTACGTTAACGTAACATTTTGATTATGATTTCGATGTTAAGGTCACGACGATGGTGAACTATAATGATTGCTTAGCACGATTTATACTTATCCATTATACGCATGGCAACTCTTGCTGGTTCTTCGTTGAAACGGGAAAGCATAAAGTTAAGTTATCAATAACATTTCATCGATATTATTCTATGATTTAAAAAAAAAAAGAAAGATATATATATATACATGTATAATATTATATAAAACATTGTTTTTGTATTAGAAAAATAATAGAAAGTTAAAAGTATACATTGTCATCAATAAGTTAGAACATTGTCATTATTTTCTTTCTATTTTTTATTATTTAGGAAAATAATTTCTAATACAAATTGTCCCTGGTAGCACAAAATATTGAATAAATGTGTATTTAATATTAAAAAGATATTAAATTTCATGTATTGAATATTTTTTAATAGTTTGTACTATTAAGGGTGATTCTATGTTTTTCTTTTTTTGTTTAACATTGCAAATCATTTTTTACTTTAATTTCAACTGCAGTAGAAGTCGATGA